GAAAACTGTGTTTTGACTGTTTTTATGTGGTTTCTTTGCACCTTATCTTAATGCTTTTTGTTTTCATCGAGCACTTTGAATTGGCCTGGGTTGAAATGGGCTGTACAAACACTCTTCCCTTTCCTGCCCTTGCCTTTACAGATCTGAAAAACATGTTTTTAGGACACTGTGTTGACACTAAGCTCTTCCTAGTCACATTCTGACTCTTGCCTCATCTGTTCCCCTCTCCACTCAGGTAACTAACCGGTACCTCTCTCAGCTGAAGGATGCCCACAGAGCCCATCCATTCCTGAAAGACTACTTAGCCAAGGTAACTTGATTGCATCTTTAATTGTTGTTAAATACTTTTCATTGTGAGGGAGGACTCTGACTTGAGGGCAGGGCTATTTAGGTTCACCAGATCGACACACACTTGTTGATAAGCCGTCATAACCTTTACTCTCTATTTCATTACCTTTGAGTGTTGGGCAGGAAGTGTCCTTGGAGCAATGAGAGCATTCAACTCTGGGTTTTAGCCTTTGTCACAGTGAGTTGTAATAACAGGGGTGCAGTAGTCTAGATCAGTGGTTCCCAAACTTTTTGTGCCCAAGGCACACCAAAGGACAAGTACAAATCTCAAGGCACACCTATTGTGCAGAAATATAAATATTTTTGCCGACTTACAAGTTAGTGAGATACATGTGCCTGTCGGGGCGCGCAGCATTTTTTAATCCTTGGTGGCACTGAGGAGGGCCACTCGCAAGTCCTGTTCAACAGAGAGCCGTGACCTCCTGTTGTTCTTCATGTAAACCAGAGTAGAGAACGCCAACTCCAGAGATGGGGTCGTTATATATTACATATTACTTTTTTTTAAAAAGTACTATATTACACTACTTCGTTACTATCTACATAAAGTAACTCGTTACTTTACTCGCCGAGCACGTACGAACTGCGCATGCGTGAGTGGCAATAACTTTCCTTACCAGCAGGCGGCGGTAGTGTGTATTTGTCATTCAAAACAGGCAACAACCGGAAAACAGAGAAGAAGAACAGACTCCGTGATATAAACAAAAAAGCATGTGTTCTTTGCAGGTGTGTGTTGAGGTTTGACCACGTGGTGTTTCCAGCAGTGGATAACAGCTTCTGGCCTGGACACAGTTTGCACCTCACCGTACATTCCTGTCTATTCTTCGGACGAACTCAAAGTAATGGGCATACCTCCACCCCTCGAAAGTTATCGCTGACTCAGCATGAAATGCAGCACTGCACGTTGAGATGTGGACGCGCAGATTACGTACATATAAACCTACAAAGTACTGATATAGTAAATTCAAAAATAATTATTTTTGTGTAGTTGTATATTGCAATAATAACGTATGGTTGTCACAAAATCCCACGGCACACCCGGACTTGCCTCACGGCACACCAGTGTGCCGCGGCACACCGTTTGAGAAACACTGCTCTAGATCAGTGTTTCTCAAACTTTTTCATACCAAGGACACTTAACCAATAAAAAAACACTCGCGGACCACCTAACTCCACAAATATCCAAAAACACATCGGTTTTCTAGAACAGATTACAAATCGCCTGAAAATGGTACAAACAGGCGGCTACATGTGTGACGAAGGTGTTGCGCGGGGCTATATCATGCAATCGAAAGTGAAACTTAAGCTCGCTCCATTGCGGAGATATTCCCGCGAGAGTGCGGAAAACTTACATTTATTCATTTATTTCAAATGTGAAATGTTACCAATATACTCACGGACCACTAGGGGGCGCTCACGGACCACCAGTGGTCCGCGGACCACACTTTGAGAAGCACTGGTCTAGATGCACAGGTCATACAGCATTACAAAACAAATCCTGTGATGCACAGCTGCTCTGAGGTTTCCTCTGGTGTTGAATTGTTTTTCCATCTTTGTTTCCCTGCAGGAGAATGAGTTTGACAGACTAGTGATGCAGTTCGCTCCCAGCGTTACAGCATAAGACATCTGCTTTTCCCCGAGACCCCTCTCCACAGTATATCACCATGAAGTTCCCTTTATAACTTGTGTTTGTTTTGATATTTTTACATGTCAAATTAAAGCTGTAGCTGCATATTTAAACCACAACAGAAGTCCTAATTCCCCCTGGCTGTAGATGCAACGACTCTTCTTATTCATTTGAATTTCTCTCATTGAAATCAACATCTCTTTAATTGTAAGCATTCCATTTAAATCATAATAAATGTTTAATGACATGCATTGTATTTGAAGTGTGGATTTAGTTTAGTAAGATTTGTTAAATATTGACATCACAGCAGCTTTGGAAACGTAACATACATTTATTAATACATCTGTCAACAGGAGGCTTTAGACAAAATGCATCAACACGGATACATACACAACAAATCTGCAAATGCTTAGACTCAAATATATCTTCAATGGCTGCACAGATTCAGGTGCTGTTTCTCCTTTAGCCATGTTTTAATACCTCTGTTTTGAGTATATTTTATTTGTCAAAGAAATCTGTATTATAGATGGATGGAAAGATAGTTAGTCTTTGGGCTCTATCCAATTAAATTACAACAGAAGGTGGATTAGGTTAATCAAGAGTTTCCAGTTGTGAGGCAAGTTTATTTATATAGCAGCTTTCAGTACGCGACAATTCAAAGTGCTTTACAAAATAAAATAAAAGACATTCAAGAATAAATTACACATTATATAATGACATTTTACAACAGGCATTTAAAAGGCTAAGATAAACACAACAGTTATACAATACATGAATAAAAAGCAAACTGCAGTGGGAGTATGAACAGTTCAATTAAAAGCAGTTCAATTAAAAGCAGCGGCAAAAAGTTATGCTTTCAGTCTCGATTTGAAAGTAGTAAGAGTTTCTGCGGACGTGCACGATTCAGGCAGCGTGTTCCAGATTGTCGGGGCATAATAGCTAAACGCCGCTTCTCCATGTTTTGTTCTTACTCTCGGAACAGAGAGCAGACCCGTTCCAGAGGACCTGAGGCACCTTGATGGTTCATAATTATGCAGGAGATCGTTGATACACTTCGGTCCTAAACCATTTAGTGATGTAAAAACTAGCAATAGAACTTTAAAATCAATTATTTGGGCGACTGGAAGCCAGTGTAAAGACTTCAGAACCGAACTGATGTGATCCACTCTTTTAATGTCAGTGAGGACTCGAGCAGCGGCGTTCTGAATCAGCTGCAGCTTTCTGATGGATGTTTTTTTCAGCCCTGTGAAGACACTTGCAGTTGTCGAGTCTACTGAAAATAAAAGCATAGTCAAGCTTTTCTAAATCCTGTTGCGACATTAGTTTTTTAATCCTAGATATGTTCTTCAGGTGATAGTAGGCTGATTTAGTAACTGTTGTAATGTGACTTAAAATGCAGGTCTGAGTCCATCACTACACCTAGATTTCTAGCTTTATGAGTTGTTTTGTAGTCTGCCAACTGAAGCTCTGCGATTACTTTTAATCGGTCCTTCTTTGCTCCAAAAACAACCTACAAAATTGTACCTGATGTTTTTCTTTCAAAGATATAGAGTAGAGGTTACACCAGGTACTTTATTGATTCAGAATTGGGAATTGTTTGTGTTGCAGCAGCTTATCAGGCATTGCACAGGAATACATGTATACTTAAACCCTAATGGGACCTATATCAATGAGAAAAGTCCATAGAGAAACACATATACAGAATTAAAGAAGAATACACCTGGATACTCAAAGTACTATATTTATATAGCCCATTATTACAAAAGGTTTGTCTCATTGGACTTTACAGTTTGTACAGAATACAAATACAACATCCTCTGTCCTTGGACCCTCACATCCAAAGAAACACCCAAGTTAATGGGGGAACATGTAATAAATGTAATAGTGCAATAGATGTTTAATGTAAATAAAAATACATTTACAACTTAGGTAGTCCAAATGCTTGAAAATGCATGTGTCTATAAACAAAATAGTTTTAAGACTGTTAAACACCTTTTGAAATAACATACATAACATTAATCTGTTTGTAACTTATATATATCAATATTCCAACTACTTGTATATAGACTATTCTGCACTATTTCTATTATATTCTATTTGATTTAATTTACTTGCACTATTATCTGTTTTATTGTGTTGCACTGTTGGAGGGGCCTGGGACCTAAGATTTGAATTGTCATAATAACTACAGCTATGCACACATGACAATAAAAGCCTTGAACCTTGAAGAATATGGATCCAGGTGGACGTCAACAATCCTGTGGGAGCCATCAAAGAGGTAGGGTGAGCAAACTCAAATATATACATTAGTGTGCAAAGTGAAGTTTTTATTTATATATAATTGCGAAGAGGTAGCTCTTGAAGCATTACTGTGCACTGATGAATACACCTGGATACTCAAATTACTATATTTATATAGGCTATTATCACAAACAGTACATTTGTCTCACTTAACAGTTTGTACAGAATACAAATACGACATCCTCTGTCCTTGGACCCTCACATCCAAAGAAACACCCAAGTTAATGGCGGGAAATGTAAGAAAACTTGGGAAGAGCAACAGAGGAGGGGTCCCTCTCACAGGACGGACAGACGTGCAATAGATGTCGTGTGTAAATTACAAAAAACATAGGTAGTTCAAAATGCATGTGACTATAAACAAGAAGGTGGATGTCAACAATCCTGTGGGAGCCATCAAAGAAGTAGAAGTAGTTTTTTTTACTTTATTATTTGCCCCTTTGTTTGTTCACCATGGGCCTTGGGTCCCTTGAAAGGCGCTATACAAATGTAATCTATTATTATTATTTTAGTAAGGTGAGCAAACTCAAATATATACATTATACATGTACAAAGTGACGTTTTTATTTATTTATATATAATTGCAGTGAGGTAGCTCTTGAAGCATTACTGTGCTCTGTCTCTTTAAATCATCCTTTTTTAATCCTCCACCAGAAGACGGTTCAAGAAGACGAAGTAGTCCCCTCTAATTATGCCACGCCCCCTTTACGTTTTTTCTTCTTCTTCTGCATTAAAAACGTACTCTGTCGCTGTCCTCTTTTCAACGTACCAGTTCATTTTGTATTGAAAGCGAAGCGCGTCGCGTCGTCACGTCGGCCAGCCCAGAGCGGCAGAAGCAGCAGCGGCGGGTAGAAGAAGAGGAGACGACCGGATAATACTCTCCCTATTTATCCTTTTTATTTCCTCTTCGCTGGACTTACTTGGTTTCTCGTTTGAATCTGTCGGGTTTTATCGGTACAGAGTCGTTACATAAGGTAAATAACGGACAGAGATGAGACCCGGATAGCGGCACTAAAACGCGCATGTGCTGTCAGGCCGACTCTCACAGGCGGAAAACCTCCATGTGTGTTAGCGCCATCACGGTTTTTTAATTTTAAAAAGAGGGTAATTTATTCCAGTAGCTTGTGGAGCTTCATCCGATGCTGTACCCCTCACTATTGTGTGATTTCACTGAACTAGGAGGCTAACGGTCGCGCCGCTGCCCTGCCGCTTGATGAGCCGCGTGAGCGTTACGGGATGATGCGCAGAAGAAACCTCCACCTCCAGCAGACATTCAGACGTTAATGGCTCATTATACCCGTCAAAACCACCTTTAATAACAAGGTTGTGTGATATAAAACACAGCCTCCTAGTGTGTGTGTGTTTGTGTGTGTGAAGCTACCGGGCCCTGTCACAAAACTGTCCTGCACGCGCAGAATGGGCCCGTGTCTTAATTTGGAAAACAAAGAATTAGGCTGCTGAAGAAGAAGAGGAGGAGGAGGAGGAGGGAGGGTAATCTGGGTAGATAAGCTTATTTTACCGTTTTTAAGGTGCTTATAGCCACACAGTCTGGACTCTAACTGCTCCTTTCTGGCCTCCTCATTTGGAGTATTTCCCCTCCACGTTTTTTGTTCTTTCTCCGCACCGCCACACCATGAGCGGTGACACCGGGGACTCCGGGCCGGTGGAAGTGGAGCCCATGCCGGGATACTTGTACCTCATCAACCGGGCCTCCACCGTGATGTTTGGCGCCTGGAGAGACTGTAGCTCCTGCGGGCTGGAGCTCTCCAAACGGACTCTCCTGGATAACGCTTACATTACCTTTACCGAAATCGCCCTGTTCTTCTTTTGCGCCTTTTTGTGGACGCAGGTCAGGCGGGGACTGACAGAAAGTCTGTTTCAGGTGAGTGACGCGCACACACACACACACACACACACACACACACACGCACACACACACACACACACACACACACACACACACGCACGCACGCACGCACACACACACAGATCCCCAAGGTTCATCTACTGACACCCTTTAATTAATGGCTTTGGCGGCTCATCCCTCTAATTAGAGCCTGCAGAAGGGACAACATGGAGTGCAGGTGGGAGTTGGAACAACACGTGCTAACACATATTAAATGCAGTTGTATGCTTAAGATAAAGTGTGCATGTTGGACAGTAAACACCCTTATCTTTACTCGTGGTTGGGCAAACATTTGAGCTCAACAGGTGAAACAAATAAGTCTGAATTGGTGAAATATCTTTGGAAGGGTTGCAACTAATGATTATCTTCATTATTGATGAATCTGCAGATTATAACACTCAAATCATTATTAAAGATCAATTCGGTTGTTACAGTGTCAGCAATTTTGGAATATAGCCATCCCAGCTTCTCAAAGTCCAATGGATGTCTAGTTCTGTCATTCCAAAACCTCCACATATTCACTGTAATATAATATAGAACAGAGTAAAGCTGAACATGTCCATACCAAGAGGCTAAAAACAGCATTTTCTGCCATCCTTACTGAAAGAAAATAGTGTAATGATTAGTTGATTATCCAAAAAGCTGGCAATTATTTTTCTGTCCATCAACTAATCGATTAGCATTATTCAAGCTCTACTTATTGCTGAGCATTCATTGGCATAAATCCAGTTTACTGTGCAAAACATGTCAAATTAAAGTTCTATTGTAACATAATGACGGATATTGGCCTTCCATTGCTCATAAAATACATATATTACATAAAAATGCTCTATGATAGGGGTGTCAAACTCAAGGCCCGCGGGCCAAAACCGGCCTGCAACTTCATTTTATGTGGCCCGCAAGAGCTTGCTAAGATTATAATACGTTTATTATACGGTTACATGCCGAACATGCAGAAGCGCGTTGCCCATACACTACATGTCCCACAATGCATCTGAAATATGAATTTTGTTTAGAATTTGACATTTTTTTACATTTTCAAATTTTGTACAGATCTTTTTTTAAATCATTTTGTGACATGCGCACTGAAGAGACTTGCAATTATTTGCCCTGGACTTCTGCTTTCAGACGTAGTTAATTATGAAGTTATCCAATAATAATCCAATTCAGAGGCAATAATGTAATGTAATACATTATTTTATATATATTATATATTATATGTATATTTATATAGTTACAACCGGCCCTTTGAGTGCAACCATAATGCTAATATGGCCCGCGATGAAATTGAGTTTGACACCCCTGCATGACCAATAAAGTTACAACCAGAGAGCTGTATCTTCCTCTCCATGTATCTCATTATTTTTTGCAATTTCAACATATTGCAAGTATGTTGCTGATAAAGGTGATTATTCTTACATATTGAATGTCTGATACGAACAATACACAACAGCATCTATTTTCTGTCAGTGCTCAATGAACGCATCCCATTCTCTGCTATTCTATCCATTTGTGACAGTCAATATAATCCAAGAGCCACCTTTTGGAAATTGGCAGTGAGCTCATGAATTGACCTAATTAGGGGTGAGTAATACAGATAATACGTAATTTAACATTTAAATATCAGTTTCTTAAATTCATTAATTGTCTGGTAGATGAATTAAACAGCTAAGGGATGACTTGAGGATGACAACCTCCTCAATATGTTTTGATCTCATATTCAAGTGAATATCTTTGGGTTTTATACTGGCAAAACAAGACATTTAAACACACTATGCTGTGTTCAGATATTCTATAGACCTAAAGATTAATTGAGAAAAGGATAGTCAGATAAATCATCATTAAAAAAAGCCTTTTATTGCAGCCCTAGTTTCTTCACATTGATGCATTCATCATCTTAAAAAATCAAATTGCAGTCATCAGCCCTGCTCATTGATTTGCAACATTGTCCACAAAGGCCAGGATGTGGCTCGTGACTCTGCTTTAAAGGGGGGGGGGGCTAGAAGTGTTAGAAGCTCAACGATGAAACTACAGCAGCTCAGGGCCCCGTGTGTGAGGCCAGATGTGACCCGAGAATGCAAAGAATGAGGCCTGTTTTACACTTTACATTACATACTGTGTGTGTGTGTTTAAATCACTGACCTCCATGGAACAATATGAGACACTACCTCCCATTTAGGAGGTGGCTACTATAAGGGCTGTAAAGGAAAGCGCTGCTGCACAATTAATCAAAATGTAATAGTGGTACAGGAATAAGTCCTAAAACCCTGGAAATGAGTCAGCATTTAGCACTTCCTGTTCCCTTGCCTGGAAGTTGAAATGTTTACGGTTAGATTCCTAAAATAAGGTCTGTGGTTAACCCAAGCTGAAGAGATTTTAGCGTTTTGTTCTACGATATAAAATGTGTCAGTTAATAGTACCCAACTGGTGAATTTCAAAACGGCAGTTGCTAACAAGTGTCTAAATGAGACGACTAAACGTCATCACGCCCAACATTAGCCGCCTTTAGCTAGTTCCTTTATAGTCCAACATTAACCACCTTTAGCTTAGCGGTGGTGACGTGAAGTCATGTGACCGTGCTGTAGTTCCTTCATAGCCCAACATTAACCGCCTTTAGCTTAGCGTTAGTGACGTGAAGTCATGTGACCGTGCTGTAGTTCCTTTATAGCCCACCATTAGCCGCCTTTAGCTTAGCGGTGGTGACGTGAAGTCATGTGACCGTGCTGTAGTTCCTTTATAGCCCACCATTAGCCGCCTTTAGCTTAGCGGTGGTGACGTGAAGTCATGTGACCATGCTGTAGTTCCTTCATAGCCCAACATTAGCCGCCTTTAGCTTAGCGTTAGTGACGTGAAGTCTTGTGACCGTGCTGTAGTTCCTTTATAGCCCAACATTAGCCGCCTTTAGCTTAGCGGTGGTGACGTGAAGTCATGTGACCGTGCTGTAGTTCCTTCATAGCCCAACATTAGCCGCTTTTAGCTTAGCGGTGGTGACGTGAAGTCATGTGACCGTGCTGTAGTTCCTTCATAGCCCAACATTAGCCGCTTTTAGCTTAGCGGTGGTGACGTGAAGTCATGTGACCGTGCTGTAGTTCCTTCATAGCCCAACATTAGCCGCTTTTAGCTTAGCGGTGGTGACGTGAAGTCATGTGACCGTGCTGTAGTTCTTTTATAGCCCAACATTAGCCGCTTTTAGCTTAGCGGTGGTGACGTGAAGTCATGTGACCGTGCTGTGTAGTTCCTTCATAGCCCAACATTAGCCGCTTTTAGCTTAGCGGTGGTGACGTGAAGTCATGTGACCGTGCTGTAGTTCTTTTATAGCCCAACATTAGCCGCTTTTAGCTGAGCGGTGGTGACGTGAAGTCATGTGACCGTGCTGTAGTTCCTTCATAGCCCAACATTAGCCGCTTTTAGCTTAGCGGTGGTGACGTGAAGTCATGTGGTTTTGCTGTAGTTCCTTTTTAGCCCAACATTAGAGATTATTTTCAGCAATAATCCAAAATCACATGGAGAGATCATATTGCTTTTTGTCAAGGGACTCCTTTCAATGCTAACTTCCAGTTTGGCCTACAAAAAAGAGTCATAACTGCAAATGGCAGGAGGTGCAATATTTGGTTAATAATTATGTTTAAATAATTATGCAGAATTAAAGATTGTGGAGCTGCAGAGATATCCTGTCCTACAAATCTATTTCTACAGACTTAATAACCAAGCAGACTTAAGATCAAGCTCAATTTGCAGAAGTTGAATTTTTCAAAACACATCTGCCACTAAAAGCTGTGGGATAAAAAGAATCTGTTTCCTGTTTTGTTAGTGCTCCTAGTCACTCTTGAAGATGTCTTATTAAAAACACCATCGCCATAATGATTTAACATATATATTTCAATGAAAATGAGAATAATTATACCAAAATAATGAATCCCCCCAATATCGTGAATTGTATCACAATTGCAGTAAACGTCAAGATAATCGCAATTAGTTATTTATTCAAAAAGGTGTAGGATCAGGTGATAATATAGTGCATGTGTAATACTACCTTTACAAACCGTACATTAGGTATTAAGAGGATAGGTTCAGTGTTAGGTCAGAGTTAATTAAACACAAATATTGCTCTAATACATCACAAAAGCTGCGGCTGGTTGTCAGAAAAGCACACCGACAGTATTTGCATTCATACTTTAGGCCCGGCTAATATTTCTTGAATCATCCAGGAGGTTTCTCACTTCACTTGCTATGTTTAGTAAACCACACAATGCATTTAGCAGCACGCGAGCAATGGTTAATATGTGGTCGTCATTGTGTGTTAAAATACACACTCTGCACAATCTGAGCAGAATAAATGGCAGCAAAGAGAATCGTAAGTACACACACATAATGAGGTTCAGAGCTCATGAACGTTTGTTTACTTTAAATGTTAGCTCGGACATCAGAGGACAAAGCAGAGTGTAATCTCATCCTGTTGTGATCTTGTTCGGACTGATATGATCTGACATGTGAGGAATGGATGTTAGTTTCCTCTGACATGCTGTGAGAAAGGGTTAGGGGCCTCAAAGGCATTACATACACTTCAATGTAACTGTCAAGTATAGAGACGGATGTTTGTTTGCTAAATGTTGGTTAACTCTGATTGATGGTGCTTTGTATTGTCTTCATGCTTTTATAGCTGCAAATAATAGGCTGTTAATCAAGTGTTTGAAATGTAATCGTTTCAGTCATTTGCCATGCAAAATATGTCCAATATTTAATGAGTTTAGATTCTTAAATGTGATCATTTACAGTTTTTTCTATGCTTTTAATACAAATGTGCAGCAATTAGTTGGCTAACAACAAAAGAATGCCAGGTAATTAATGAAAGACTGGAAGAAGATGCAGTTTTAGCCTTTTAAATATGGAGATATCCTACTTTTCATTATTTTATATCCGTTTAAAAACTACTCGACTTCTCATTTGACTTTTTAGAAACTGGGATGGACTTTTTT